TATAAGTGATATCAGTTTAATTTTTTTCCAAGTTTTAGAGAGACACTTTAATTTTTTGTTTTATTATGCTTTAAAAATAATATCATTAAGGTGGCCTCTGTTCTGGCCAATGCATTGAGATAGTCGAGTTTTGAAGTTTCTTTCCTCTTTTACCAGCACATCAACGGTTATGTTGTCAATAGCAGCTTGAATATTGTTCTTCAGTTCAACCAGGGTCTTTGGATGTTAGAGATTTCAGATAGCCCCACGAAAAGAAATCACTCGGGGCTAAATCAGGTGAGTGTGCTGGCCACTGACAATCGCCTCATAAAGAGATAAGGCGTCCATGGAAATGTTCTAAAAAAAATCATGGTCCAATGATGTCTATTCTGGACAATGAACACCAAACAGTCACACGTTCTGTATGGAGGGGCTGGTCATGAATTTCTCGGGGATTCATGGCACTCCATTATCGCATGTTTTGCTTAATGCGTGCTGCAACCAGAAAGATGAAAAGGAGCTCCATCGGTAAAGAACACAAGAACATCATGAGGCATATTGTCAAGAACGGCTTTGCATACATTTTTTCGTGAAAAAAAAAAAAAAATCACATGGATTAAGTTTTTGCACCACTGCCAATTTATATGGATGATAATGCAATACGTTGAAAAGTATGACTCCACGGAGAACATGCGCTCCTCTCTCGTCCACTGCATGATTGGTACTAAACCTACCTACATGACATAAAACTTTAGATACCGCTCTTTTCAATGAACACAACACCACCCTTCTCGGAATAAATGTCGCTAGATGGCGTGCGTTTGAAATATGGAAGTTTCCCTGCCGCACCCTGTACAATAACTAGTTTAAATAACAATACAATAAACTTAATTTTGCAACATGAAATTTTATAGCTATCCAATTACTCAAAACTTTCATTTATTCTAGGTATCATGGATGAATAAATGGTACAAAATATTTTATTCATCAAATACATGAATGTATAGAACATTCCCAAACATCCCATACATAAAAAGAAAAGGGACAACACAGCATTAATGTATATATTTTACCTGCAATCCAGGCCAAAATGCTAGTAAGGAATCCATAAAATTGCGAGAATTTGTATGTGGCCTATGCATGTGCACATCAACAAGTAGAGGACCTTGACTTACATATTTCATCACAGCTGAATAATGCTAATAAAATTCAAATAACTGTATTTAGTAAAATAAATTTTATATTCATACATTTTGATATACACTTCTAAGGTACTGAAACATTTTTTAATTATAACTCACAGAATTTGTTACAAAGAAATGTGATCTGATACACATTCAATAGAGGTCCAGGAAATGCACATAGTAAATAGATTTATGTAGAATGATACACATAAAAAAATTTTTTTTTTTAAATTAAAAAATTAAAAATTTAAAAAAAAAAAAAAAACCCTATTTACTGTAGCTTCAAAGATTAGAGAAGTCCTGCTGCTGCATATGAAACCCATGTACACAATTATTCTTCAGCCACAATTGGTTTCCTGAATATTGTGATTGCAATGATTTCCTCTTCCTCTCCACATTAGCTTCAAAATCACTGTCGATGATGCAGCAGGATTCGTAATAGAATATTAATCTGGACTAATTTTGCTGACCCCAGTGAATATGCTCCTTACACCAATGCGTATTTCCCCAGTCATAATGTGCACATAAGGGAATGTATGCAAAAGGCTTCGGTGCAAATGATTGGCATTATTTAATTGCCAAGAAATGGTTCTCGCAGATATGTGAGTACCAGTAGCACAAGCAATGTCTGTACTATCAGACCAGGAACAGCATTTTTGTTATTTTTCACCACTAAGGCACATATGCATCCTCTTGATGTATGGTGGTTCTCTTTCATCTGCTTTATCATAGCATTTTGAGCTTCAGCATTTTTCTTTAAGTACAAGATAACACTATTTGACATACTTATTGCTGTATCAACTTCAGTTATACTTTGCACTGCCTTCAGATGTCCAAATGCTTGAGCATGATCATATGTACACAGATGATGTCTTACAGGCATTCTGCAATCAATACTTGCCATTAGAAATGAAAATTTATAGTGTACTTTTCCCAAACTGACAAAGTTTTTTCCCCTTCTCAAACATTACTGTCTTCAGTTATGAATAAGGAAACACTGGGTTATAGGAATGAGTAGTATGGTGAGTACTGCATTTTATGCAAATCAGAGGTCTTGCCGTACAATGCCTTTACTCAAATTTTTCCTGCAATCATGCAGCAGTCCAGAATGAAAGTTTGCATAAATCAGTTGTTCCTTAGAAACTGTCACACAATTTACCTGCACAATTGAAATTATCTGATGTATAACCAAATTAGCAGTTGTATCAAACATTATGCACCTTTATTTTAAACACTACAAAAAAATTAGCAACACAAAATACAATTTAACCTTTCTCTAGAAATTTCTTATCAAAATGCAGGAAAAAAAAAATATCCAAGATGGAACAAACTCAAAACAATGACTGTATATGAAAAAAGCTATGATAATTTCTTTAATTACTGAAATATTATTACCAGATTTTATTTCAGGTAGGCAATATTTAAGTGCCTGTAATTAAAAACCATATTTTAAAATGAATGAATGAATAATATAATTAATATTAAAATTATTTAACCCATCAGTTAGCCAAATTGCACTTTACATCCAAGAAAAATGTTTCTACACATTTAAATAAGTACATATACTTGCATCTTGAAATATGTTCAAACAATTAAGGAAATATAAAATAAGAAAATGAATCTAGAAATAAAATAGCAGAGACATTCTGGAATTATAACCAAGAAAATAGCTTTTTCCTATTGCATTTCTGGAAACATTAAGGATTTGGAGACAAACCTTTGACCAATTAAAAATTTTGCGTTCTAAGTAAGCCTATTACTAAAAACATAATTAATAAGACTATATTGTGGGAATAATTGTACTTGTCAGATAATTGAAAAGTGACATACCAAAGGATGAATTCTAATGCAGACTTTAAACTTATCTTTAAAATCTTCAAATCAAATTAAAAATTTAATCTAGATAAGAAACAAGTATTTTATTTACTTAAATACAACTTCTAATTCTAACTCCTATTAATTCATTTTGATTATGAATATTTTTATGAAATTTTAAAAAGTCAAATACTCTGATTTTTGTATACTTAAGTAATCAAATTCATAATCTTGAGTTGCACTTTTTTCCCAATTTTCACTGAATAGGAAGAATTTCGTCGATTTTCATTCTAGCAGCCAAAGTAGTTTATAAAAAACATCCTTGGTATGCTGCAGGCCTTAGCCAAAACATGTTTTGTTAAAGATAACTTCTTATTAAAATAACCATTAATTATCACTGCTTCTCAACTTAATACTCATTAATGTCCTCTTAATATTACAATTTTCGTTGTTGCTATCTTTTTAGTCCAAAGGGATTTGAGTCCTGAAGGACTATTACTTTCGTTCTGGCATTTTGCGTCGGACTTCTATAAATGTCGTTTCACTTTTCAAACTGTTGCCGCCAAATGTTAAGAGTCCTACATTATATTTGAAGAAATTAAATAATGAAAAATCTGCATAAATGTATGTATATTTCTTGCATTATGATAAAATAACGGTACATAGAGACATCGAATTTTGAATTACATAATCCTCCAACAAATATGGGCATGTGGAAGACCAAATTTGAAATTTGTTTTATTATCAATTTCATATTTTGTATAAAACTTTAACGAATGTTTGATTAACAAACTCATGGATTTTCAAAGCGAGCAATGGCAACGTAGTGCAGAAAAAACATTTTTATCTCTTGTGCCTGAGTCTCTGTATGGGAAATTCTAAAGATATGCTCACTTTAAAGCTATTTTGCGATATTGCTGTTGAACTGGATCTTATGGTTTAAGTGCTGTAATGATATTTAATAAAAGAAAGGTAACACACAAAATGTTAAAAAATGTCCCTTTAGACGTCATTTAAAATCTGAAACATTTTAGATTTTTTTTTTTTCTTTTTTTAAAAAATTATTCTAGTTTTGATTTTTAATAAAAAAAAAACAATTTTCTACAGAATTATAAATAGCACTAAAAGCTTAAAAAACTGGATCAATTTCTCCTTACTATATCTACAATTTTCCAGAATTGCATTGCAAAGCATATTTCAAAAATGATCTGATTTGTAACATTTCGCTTAAGACAATAAAAGGTATAAAAGCCTGGGTGTCCAATACTAAAAACTTCAAGAAAGAGGTAATACTGAAAATGAGAACTAGATTTCATTCTTTCACATGCAGTTTCCTATGACAGATATTATACTTCAGACAAAGGGAATAGCATAATTAATGTTTTGCAATTTTCTTTTGTGTTGTTGAAACCTCTGTCACTACAGTTAGGAGAATAAGTTTTAAATGGCTATAAAGATATATAATAAAAGTCAAAGAGACAGATTAAATAAAGTTCCACCTTAAAGACCAATCAGAAAAGCAATAAGTTATATGGATAAGTAATCAAGATATTCTGGAGTTTGGAAAAGTGACACAAGAAGAATGACATGTTTTTATTATCCCGGGATGGCTTAAAATGATTTGATTCATATTACAATATTTATGTTCTTAATGTCAATGCACAATTACTATGAATTAATAACAGATTTTACATGTATATGAAAAAATTTAATGTATGCTCAGAGAAATTTTAAATAACTATTCAATATTAATATTTTGTAATGTTTTAGCATAAAGTAACATAAATTTCTAAAAACTACTGAGAAAAATTTCACAAACCTTGTTAAATCGTTCTAAGTATACATCATCTCCTAAAAGAATGTAAGCTTTCAAACAATATTCATAATATGAATCGATACCCGCTCCAACACCACTATCTGCAAAATATATCAAGGGGCACATATATACCAATCTTTCATTCAGCCATCATTATACAACAGATATACAAACAGTATGATATTTTATATACCATAATAATTACCACAGATATAAACACTTTTAATTATATTATGCCTCAGATTTTGAATTATTTACCTCTTCGTATCCAGTCTCCATTATGTATATTGAGTACAGTTCCCATTAAATCGCTAGTCCGATGCCTTTGTTGCCATAAATAATCCATAGCAGCTCTGGCCTTTTCCTACAAAGAAACAATCTGTCTTCAATACAATTACTTTCAATACAAATCTATTACAATGTTATAAAGATATTGAAATTGAAAATTACATGATACTTTTATGATACTGTCACCTAAAAGCATCTTTTCCTCCAAAGCTGATTGCATTTTTGATTTCAGAATTAAGAAACATTCTATAGCATAAATAATTTCTACAGTGTAAAGAAATTTCAAAGACGTTCGATTTTGGTGTGGTGGTGGTGGTGTATTTAATTACGGCAAAGCAAACTAGGGCTATCTGCCTAAGGGGAGGGATGCCTTCGTGGAGGACATTATAATGGACACTGGCTCGTATACACATTACACATGAGAAAACCACGAAAACGGCCATGCAGCCAGCCCGTTCGTGGGACTCGAACCTCGGACTGAACTACCAGTGTTCAGCGACTTTACCACTCGGCCGCTGGTGGGCCCTTCCTTCGATTTTTCAGAGGCATTACTTGGATCAATGGTTGCCATAATATGGCTGGAAGAAGATTTTCAATGCACAGCAAAAAAGTTCTGAAGAATTATTTGATTACATAATTATACATATATGGGCAGAGGGAGTGCAAAAGTAACATTAAAAGAGCTCTTATTTTCTTTATTAGTTATTATGTATTACATAATCAGTTCTTGATTTTGAAAAAACAGTAATTTTAGGAGGTCACTGTCAGGATGGTATAGGATATACATTTAAGTACAACTTAAGAGGTTCTCAAACTGCCAATCTTCATCATTTACACATTCCTGCAGTCTACTTTCTACACTCAAGCACAATTTGGCACAGAAATTTTTATCAATTTCTTGGCATGACTAACTGTAAAATAATGTCTGCATTCAACATTACCTCGCAGTACTGTAATTGGTGATCTGGTTCAGCCTGTAATAATCCGAGAAGTAATCTTGATTGACACAATTTCAAACCTAAACATTGCATCATACACCCTAAAGACCTACAGAAAAATTTTTATTGTTTGTTACAGAATAGCATAAAAGTTTCCACTGAAATATATTCTTTTGTCGCATTGTGATCCAAGCAAGCTGCTAGTTCCTGAAATAACTATCATACTCTTCCACTGAACATGGAGCCCTCTGATTACAAAAACAGCACTGATGTTATGCACTGAAGATCAATTTTTCCATATGGATATATTGTTAAAAGGTAAGTTTAGATTTAATTGTTGTATGGTTATTTTTGCATTTTACTTGCTATCAAAGTAAAAATCAAAAAATTTTCCGAGTTTATGTTGTTATATTACTTATTACCATTTTGGTATATTTACCATTGTAGTTGTTGTGTTACATATTACCATACATTTAAGTAATACAACAACTTTGTCATTCTTTTGTTTCATGTTAAGTGAGTAAAATATGAATTAGTTAAAAATACCATGATACTTTAAATACTCTATACTACTTTTTTTATTTGGTTCATATTATAAACATTCTCGATGAGAAATAATGTTCAGAAGAGTAAATTTTTTTCATTAGATACAGTGAATTGAACTAAAAAATCAGTATTATTAATATGCACATCATATGCATATAATATAGTATTAATATATAACCTTTAGAAAGAGCCATTAAGAAAGTTTAATCCTCTCTTTGCTTTTAACTAATATATTATTAAATGATTAATTAGTTAATTAAATTTAAATAACTTATTATGTTTAAAAATAATTAAAATAGTTTTAAATCTTTTTTAATAAATTTTTGAATATATTATATATATATATATCTTTTTGAATCTATTGTATTTTACTAACATAAAAAGTCCTCATTCAGTAATATAGTTTTTCATCTTTTTAACATTTTATAGGTACATTTTAAATTGTAACTTACAGGCAATTATAACTATATTCTACGTATATGATAATAATATATATTATAATAACTATATGCTTATCATCTGGGTTGCCTTTTGCTTTAACCCTTTACAGCACACTACCTTTTAAGTTGGAATTTCGAGGAGAAAAAAAAAAAAAAAAACAGTAGGCAGTCTAATTAGGCCTAGAGGAGTACACAGGTAAAATTTTGTGAAGATAGCACTTATATTGTTTTAATCACATAAAATGCAATGCAAGGTAACCTTTAACAAATGCTGCAACATTTCACAAATTTACAATTAATAATTCTCCCAATTCAACCTTAATTGGTACTAATTTTATTTCAAATGTTTCATTTCATTAAATTTTGTGCAAACTTATAATAAGGAACTACAGTAATTTGATTTCAAATTGCATTATTTTATGAACAGAAAGAATATATACCACATAAAGGTTGAATTTTAAAGATAAATTTAAAGTATTGTTTTCATTACAGAAGGATTTCTAGTCTTTCAGCAAAACAGTTATCAACAGAATAAATAAAGTTACAATGAACTTTCGCATTACAATGAACATCAACCTTCATATTTTATTAATAAAGGAAGACCGCAATTTAAAAAAAAAAAAAAAACTGAAAGCTTTCAGATTTTATATTACACACAAAGGGGCATTTTTTTAACGTTTTATGTGTTACCTTTATTTATTAAATATCATGTTCTTCGCACATAAACCATAAAATTCAATTCAACAGCAATATCATAAAATAGTTAAAAGAGCATATCTTTAGAATTTCTAATACACAGTCTTGTGTGCTGGAGATAAAAATGTTTTTTTCGTAGAGTGTTGCCACTGCTCGCTTTGAAAACATTGAGTTTCTTAATCAAAAACTCATAAGTGCTTCACAAAATATGAAACACACAATAAAATAAATTCCAAATTGGGCTTCCAGATGCCCATACTTGCAGTACGATTACATCATTCAAAATTTGATGGCTCTAGGTAGCGTTGCTTTATCACAATGCGAGAAACATGCATAATTTCTGCAGATTCTTCATTATTTAATTTCTTTAAATGTAATACAGAGTGATAATATTTAGTGGCAACAATTTGAAAAAGGAAACAGACATTCAGAATGATTTGAGGCTAAATCGCAAAACGAAAACAATAGTCCCTTGGACAAAGCCCCTTTGAACTAATAAAAACAAATATTTCAAATAACATATAACTGAAAAACACATAGAGAATTAATAAATGAAACAATTTGAAAGACCAAACATTAATACTATATCATACTTAATTTGTATGAATTTTTAAATATTCCCTAAAAAATGATATTCTACCATATTTCTATAATCTACCTAGTTTTGCAAATAAAGATATATCATATTACCTCGAAAATTGTTTCACCAGTCAAACGACTAAGAGCAGCAAATTCTAAAATCATCGTGCCAGCACAAGCAGTACATGTTTCTCTGACAACACCAAGCTTTGGAGATTTTAAACCATATCGAAGATTGATCTAGAAAATAAACATGATGCTTTAAAAGAATGAAATGCATAAAATAATTGCTTTTTAGATATATAGATATTTTTTATTCTTAAATTATCAGGCATGAAGAGAAAAAGATATATTTTAGGAACTATGTATTTTGAGCCACAAATACTTTTCCTGACTATTTCGGTAATTTGGCAAGCAATAATAAATATGATGAATTGATTAAATACTTTATTGATACTATATCAGTTACTCCTTATTTGAGCTTAATATCTGGAATAAAGTCCATAGGTTAATCCAAGGGCAGTTTAAAAAACAGACATGAGAATGAAAAGCAATCCATATTACACAAACTATATTACAGTCAAAAGTTGTTAATCCGGACACCCATAATTCAGAATGATCTATAATCCGGACCTCAAAGCTACAAACTTTCTGCGCATGCGTCAATGCATAATGCGTTGACGCATGCTCGTAATACCTTTGCCCATGACCATATGCATGCACGCATGCGCATATTACATTTATGCATGCGCGTTTAATGTATAACCGACAGTATAAGCTAAGCTAAAATTATATAATTATCTATTTCAGTTAATGTTGCAGATTGCATTGTTCCTTAATCTTCGAATTGGATCTGGCTTATTATTTTTTGCAGACTGTTAGAGCAATTTTATAAAAGTAAGTTGGAACTTTCGATTATGTCAAATAGAATTTCCGATGCTGGAGCTGCATCAGGATCTACAAAGGGAAAGCATGTTTCAATGTCCATCAAACAAAAAGTGGAATTGCTGCAAAAAATGGATAAAGGCTTCTGTAACCATTCCGATATCTGTTTATCAATTTCACGCTGCTCTGTGGCGTGCAATGAACTGGAAGTTGATCTATCTGCACTATACTTATCTTCAGGGCAGATGTTTTTATTTTATTCAGCTTATAATTCCTTACTAAATGTAGTATTTCATCTCGACGTACTCCGTCTTTGATATGATTTAAATCAAATTCCTCGTCATTATAAATATCACGAATACACATCAAATAGTTTTCTGGTTGCAATTTTCTAATTTTGATAATTAATTTTTTAATAATTAAGCGTAATGTATGCTTTACGCATGCGCGCGTTGAAAGAAATGTTTAATAAAGTAAATAAATGAATATTAAGCCTTTTTTTTTTTTGTAAATTTTGATACCCTTTAGATCATAATTGCTCTTTATTTCATAAATTAGGTTTCATATTTTTAATTTTATAATTTCTGCATGCCATATTACCAGATTTAAACTGATGATCTATAATCCGAAAAAAATCAATAACCCGAAATCGCCAAAGTCCCGACAAGTCTGGATTAAAGACTTTTGACTGTACTAACTTATATTACTAACAAAATTATAAACTTATATTACTAACAAAACTGTTATACACTTATATTACTAACATAAAAGCACTATTAACAATTGATCTGTATTTTCAAATAGTTTAATCAGGAGAATAAGCTCATTTGGTTATGTAAATTATGGTTAATAAATACAATTACTATGATTCTGCTATAAACAAGCTTTACATATGAATAATACCTTTCATTCAACAAAAATTCAACAAAAATCTATTTTAAAATGCTTAAAAAGGCAAGTACTCCTTCCATTTATAAAATAATTAGTAACTGACTATTTTGTTTATATAATAAATATATATTGTTTATATAATAAACCTTAAAAAAGTATAAAAAGATATATGTGATATTGTTCCACAAGATGAAACCAATTCACTTTTTAGTCATGGCCGAGAAAAACTGTTGCGTAGATCTGACTGGAGGGAAAATCATAAATGGCTTAATCATTAAAACATCATTTTTATTTTGAAATGGAGCAATTTTTCAGAAATACATTTCTTCTTAAATTGAATCAGCCTAGCAATGCTAAATGTGCCCAACAATTCTAATATACCTAGTTTATATTTTAGATAATAGAAAAAGAAGCTTAGTGAAGAGACATGACTTTTCTTGGCAGAGTAAGCAGCAAAAGAAGTGATGCGCAGTAACTACAGTAGTATTTATAAGCTCAAAAATCTTTGTTTTAATTCTGAGCAGTGACGGGACAAAAGCTTTTTGCAGTACAAAAAATTCGCAGGAAAAGTGTGACATAACATGCTGCTGAGTGGCATGAAATGTTTCAAAGCATATCCTTGAAGATGAAAAGTGTTTAATTAAAAATTATGAATTTAAAGGTCTATTCCCAATTGGTTCCATTTAAGTTTAATAATTTTATTAATAATTTTCTTATATTTCTTATATTTTACATATATATATATGTGTGTGTGTGTGTGTGTGTAAGAAAAATAAAGAATATATATTAAAGATTAAATTAGCAGCATAAATTAATTTCCCTTCTCAATTCTAAAAATAGTAACCTCTATTTGCACTGCGTCATTTCTAGATTAATCCATGTCATATGACTCTTACATAATTCTGGTGATGTAAATGGAACTAAAACTCAAGCAGCCAATAGTAAGTTTATAGCAATATTAACTACCCAATCAAAATGCATTTAGAAACAAAACTAACTCAGTCTGAATTAAAATTTTGCTATAAACACAACACACTTGCTTCCTATGCTTTGGCTTAGCCGGACTGCAGTCTGTCTGCTCCTTCGTTTTTACTCCAAATCTATCTAAAGTGTAAGCTTTTTGGAATAAACACATTTAATGTGCCAACTTGTTTGTGGCCGCAATATGTTTGCTGAAATGAAAAATGAAGATTTAATCTGCCTTCACCTCCAATTTCCTATTCATTATGGATCAACACTTCTACGCCATCAAAATTCCGCTCCTCATTACTTCTAAGTTTGTTTCATATCACATATATATATATATATATTAAAATCTCTACATAATCATTCAGTAATATTTCAGCCTAATATTACCATTTTAACCTTGTAACACAAACTGACAAAAACAAATTAACTACCAACATTTACTTTCTTTTTACACTTATACTCTGACCTGAGAAATAAATTATGCTTCCATTTTAGCATCATATCAATTGCAACACCTAATGAATTCTAATAGAGTCTTTTTCAGATGAACAATAATTAAAAATATGATACAAGTTTCATTATAAAATGCGATTATTGATGATTCATAGTTCTGTATTGATTATGAAGATTAGTATTAACTTCTAACTGCATTATATTAACTGCTCATAAAAACTGAAGAATAATGTGAAAAATATGCTCATTTATTAAAATTTTCAGCTAATGTAAAAGCCAGACTATCAAAATTCAACTAACCAAAAAAGCTCAAGTAACTGAAAAATTTTAGAATTTTTTTTAAACAAAAAATTACACAAATGAAAAATTCATGCGTGCATTATAAACTGAATATAGAACTGTGTGAAAAATTAGGATAAACTATTTAGGTTTTTGTATATATATTACATTCTACATCTGTAACATGTATCTGTTCATTATCTAACTGAAAAAGGAGCAGCTTGTTCTCTCAAACTTCTTCAGGTATGTTTGGCAAAAGCTGTGCAGGGTCTCCATCAAATTTCCTGGTTGATGAGATTTCATAATTGGTTAACACGATATACTTTTATATCCTTAAGAACTATAAAAACACATTGACTTTTATGTCTGAAATGTGTTTTTTTAATATTGCATAGTTTTTAAAATGCAAGCTTTTGATAACAAATAAAGCAACTATTTTTATTAATATTCAAAATAAAATTTCTTCTTCCATTTATTTGGCTTTTCTACTACAAATTTTATTTTTAATGTTCACAACTATCTGGAACTTTAACATATCTAACATTGAGAATTTCATGAGCTTTCTGGATAGTCGAACTTTTACCATATTTATGTCGAATACCTGCATGTCTATATGATACACATGCATGATTATACTAACGATCAACTTAATCTGAAAATACTAGACATGCTACCATATCATATAGACATATGATTTCTTGTTGATTAAAGAAAAATAATTTCTAGAAATGCTGAATGAGGAATGGTTAAATGATTTCTTCTTTTCTGTGGGCATACTAACTAAGCAAATTAAATGTCATATTGCAAAGGAAAAAGCGATACAGTTTCAATATGTAGTCAAAAATCAAACCATTTATGATAAAATTAAATTTACTTGCTGAAAATTCAAACAAAAAACAATTAAATTACTTTCCAATATTGTAATCAAGATGAGAAAACTTGACAAATGATAATGTTGTTTAGTATGGAATAATATTAAAAGGCTAAAATTTTGCATTTGAAAGAAAATACAGAGACTTTATAACAAAAACTGAAAAAGATTTAAATATGAAGTTTAATATGCAAAATGCCCCAGTCCAGATTCATTTAGGCCTGACTGACTTGCAGTCAGATCAGAGGAAACTTTCCTTAAAGGGGTTTATTGTTTTTTTTTTTTTAATTCAAAAATTTCTGGATTATGCCAAAAATTATTTGGTTTTATTTGGATCAATATACAGGGGTTGGACAAAAATATTGAAACACCTTTAAAAAAACATGTTTCTTTGCTTAATATGGTGTAGGAAACCCTTTGGCATCCAAAACAGCTTGCAGTCTTCTCGGAATGGATAAATACAGTTCCTGTATGTTTGCCAAGGGAATATTATACCATTCTTCCTGCAAAACGGTGGCAAGTTCAGATAACGATGTTGGCGGTGGATAATGAGAACGCACTTTCCGTTCCAATGTAGACCACAAAGGTTCGATAATATTCAGGTCTGGTGACTGTGGTGGCCAGAGGAGATGGGACAACTCATCCTCGTACTCAGAAAACCAGTCCTGGACAATGTGAGCTGTGTGAACAGAGGCTTTGTCGTCTTGGAAGACACCATCACCATCGGGGAACAAAGTTTGTACTATGGGATGAACTTGATCGGCCAAAATGTTCACATAAGTCTTAGCAGTCATGTGCCCTGACACAATTATCATGGGGTAGCAGAGAACCACGATATGGCTGCCCAAACCATAACAGAACCCCTGCCATGTTTCACACTTGGCAACAAGCA